CAGAACAAAACAAAAAACCGTAATGCCGTCCTACCGAGAGAACCCCCAATGGAATGAATATACATCAGATTTGAAATTACTCTCTCATGCTCCTCATCCTTGAAAAAACCAATCTCAACTCATGCACGCGCCCACGCACCAGTCTCGGATCTCAGTTGCTCGTGACCTTGTAAGCCAACGCCGGCCTCTTTTTGCTCAACGACGCCTAGTCGGCAACTCGGCAGACCAGCATATATGGAGTGTCGCTGTATAAGTAGCACAGATACTAGGATATTGAGAGTTTTGTCTCTTTACCATCGTGGCCCTAAAATGCTGCAACGCTTACCAAGAAACGCCTCTAGCAGCTGCAAGGTCCTCCTGCCTGCGTATCCCTACCCTCGGCTGGCCCTAAGCTGACACCGCCCGGTCGCTGGCCCGGCCGGGTGTGACGGGGGCCGACCTGGTCGAGAGGAAGCTTCTTCGCAATAGCAGTGAATAGTTCTTGCACATTCTCCGCCGTCTTAGCCGAGGTTTCGAAAAACAATAAGCCAGCCTCGTTAGCATATGCTTCTGCTTCTGCGGTCGGAACTGCGCGCTTGTCTGGCTGCTCGTTTACCAAATCCAATTTATTTCCAGCGAGAGCAATGATAATGTTCTCGTTCGCTTGCCGTTGTAGTTCCTTCACCCATGCCTTTGCCTTGTCCAGCGATGTCTGTGGTTGCCCGGGGTTAGTCAAGTTATGGCACCTATCCGGCGGGGTGATCAATTACGTACGGATTGGGTGATATCATAGACAACCACGGCACAGTTGGCATTTCGGTAGTACATGGGCGCCAACGACTTATATCTCTCCTGGCCGGCGGTGTCCCAGATTTCGAACTTAACGGTGGTATTTTCGTCGAGGGATATGGTCTGTGTGAGAAAAGCGGCGCCAATGGTTGATTCTCTGTACGAGTCGAATTGATCCTGAACCAGAATGAGCAACAAGACTTCAAGACAGAATAGTCGGAAGTTTATGATATACCTTAACGAATCTCAGCACTATCGAGCTCTAAATCAGGATAGTTAGCTTAGCTAATATCTCCGGCGAGTTTGGGCATCGGTTCTTATTACCTTTCCAACGGCAGATTCTCCTAGGCGTACGTCAGTGTCGGCCAGAACTACGGAGGGAGCGGACAACGATAAGCTTACCCAGCAAAACCAATTTAAATTGTGCAAAGCGAGTGTTCATGCCGCGGCCCGCAGCAGGCCCTGCCCGAGAAGCCATTACGAGAGGACTTGTGATGCGGATAACCAAGGAGGAGAGCGCAGATACTCGCTGCGCGGTTGTTACGGATCGGGAGACAAAGGAGGCCGATTGGGAGGCGTGGCACGGGCACGGGGTATCTTATCGGAAAGGAATTTGGTATAGGTAAACTTCGAGAGAGGACAGGCGAAACAGAGGATATGGAGAAAGATGAGGCGACGGGATGGGGGACTCGGACGTGGACGGGGTGTCGTTGTAGTTAGTGGAAGCGAAACGGTAGTGGTGAGAGAGATGGTCACTGCCTAGACTACTAGTACAGTAGATAGACAGATAGATGTAGGTAGATGAATGCAGTGACTTGGAAGCTTGACTGGTTCCAGTGTGAGCTGAGTACCTAGGTACTGTAGGCATATGTACTTACTTAGGTAGGGCGGTACATTATAGTGGATGGGCGAGTGGCTGAGCGCCTAGGGTTGCCTAGTAAGGTAGTAAGGTACCTATTAGCTTAAGTACCTAGCAGCGTTGGGAAACGGGGCCTTTACTGTTAGGTAGCGGGCCGTGGTCTAGCTAGTTACAGGTAAGTACTCAAGTAAGTACCTACCTATCTTGTCGTACTCGTAACTATTCCCTAGATATGGTGTCCTGAATGACCTGCTCTACAGGGTCAGGTGGCGTGAAGTTCACCGTACACCGTACCTTGAGCACATAGCCTTAGGTACAAGTGCTAAGTCCCTAAGGTTAGGTATCTGCTACCTAATATTGGTGGGACCAATACCTACATGTAGGTAGGTATCCCCAAGTGGGGTCTAGAAAGGGGACCATGTGAATGGACGCAATGTATGAATTCTGCTTAGTATATTTATTGCTTATAAGAATATCTATAATGACACCTTCCCATACACACACATTTGTGAAGCTTGATTCAAACACTCTACCTTAAATAGTCCGCAACTACCGAGTCCAAGTCACGATAACAGCTATTGACCGACACCTGTATCTCTCAAGGCTCCCGGGCCTGCGAGTGCCTGATTGTGTTCAGTTCCAGCTGAACTACCAACCAACTTCGAGCCCACTTATCCACCCTTAAGGGATGAACATACGCCGAGCCGCGCCCTTTTCCAGCCCATCATGACACTTCCGTACCGGGACATCAATGTCCACGTTGCCGCCGAGTCCTACACCTTTACCTCACCCTCTTCTCCCAATGCTCCAGCTCTAGTCATTGACAGGCCAACGGGCGATGTCCGCCTAAGCGAAACTGCCTCCGTAAGCACCAAACGTGTCGCCCGTGTATCTAGTATAGCCGGCATCCTAGGTCTCATTCGACTCAGACTAGGTAAGGTTCATCCCGAAACGGCGTACCAGTTAGGACTGACCGGTTGGGGTAGATAAGTATGCCATCGTTATAACGAAAGCCCAGCCTGTGGGCCGCCTTAAGGGGCATATGGTGTACAAGGTTGTCTCGACCGATTTCCTACCGATGCGAGAACGTCAGATTCGTGACCCCGATGAAGACCAGTTTCTGTTTCTCCTAAAATCATTCATCATGAATGGTCCTATGTACTTCTCCTATTCGATCGACCTCACCAACAGCTTCCAGAGGCAGGCTTCTGTTGACAACTCTGCCCCTCTCTGGATGCGCGCCGACGATCGCTTTTTCTGGAACAGATTCGTCCAGACAGATCTAATCAACTTCCGAAAAGGGGGAAACCGATCCCAGCAGGGGCCGCAACCAGCTGTCGACCCTTTCATCCTACCATTGATTTGGGGTACACTAGAAATTCGGCCGACCAAGTTCAAAGGTACACCCCTAACCATCGTTCTCATCACTAGAAAGTCGAGGTACCGAGCTGGAACCAGGTATTTTACTAGAGGGATTGACGAGGAAGGACACGCGGCCAATTACAACGAGACTGAGCAAGTTGTCGTCTTGAATGATACGGCTGGTGGTTTAGGAGGATACGCAGGAAGCACTGATATGCAGAGTGGCAAGTTTGGGTCTTCTGATGGGCGAGAAATGCAGATCATGTCCTACGTCCAAACTCGAGGAAGCGTGCCTGTCTACTGGTCCGAGATCAACGCGCTTAAGTATACCCCCAAACTCCAGGTCCGAGGAATTGAAACAGCCTTCTCCGCCGCCAAAAAGCATTTTGACGAGCAGATTCGCATATATGGTGACAATTACCTCGTCAATTTAGTCAATCAAAAAGGCCGTGAAAAGCGCGTGAAGGAGGCCTATGAACAAATGGTGGAAATGCTTCTAAGCTCAAAGAAGGAAGCGGTCGATTCAGACCTTATTACAGACGAGAAATTCCGCGTCATCGAACCCAATACCCCTAAACAGGAATACGACCGCTTACACTATGTCTACTTCGACTTTCACCACGAGACTAAGGGACTCCAGTTGCATCGCGCGATGCTGCTCGTTGATAAGTTACACGACGCATTGATAGCGCAACAGTATTTCCGAGGCGTCGACATGCCTGCGAATGGTGGGCTGGAGACAAGGAACTTCCAAACGAGTGTTGTACGGACAAACTGCATGGATTCGCTCGACCGCACAAACGTAGTTCAGAGCATGCTTGCTAGGTGGACTCTGGATCGCATATTTGTAGACCTGGGTCTACTCCAACGGGGCGAGACTTTCGCCACGGCAGATCTAGCCTTCGAATTCCTCTTCCGTAACTTGTGGGCAGATAACGCCGATACTGTATCCAAAGCATATGCTGGCACCGGCGCTATGAAAACGGACATGACACGCTTGGGGAAGCGTACCAAGCAAGGGACTTTGCAAGACGGCAATATTGCCGTAACTCGTTACTATCTTAATAACTTCCGAGACGGGCCCCGACAAGACGCGTATGACCTATTCCTAGGTGCTTATGAGCCCAGTACGGCTAATATCGGCTCGTCGCTCATATTTGCCGATCGTAGGCCAATCCTTATTCAAAGTATTCCCTACATCCTCGCCTTCGGCATATTCTTCGTCTTTCTAGGATTGTTTAGCAAACGCCTGCCGGATTCCACCGTCTTACCTATGCGCTTGTTCATCCTCTTTTGGCTTGGAGTGAGTGGCTGGTGTCTAAATTTTATCATCCAGAACGGCATGCTATTTGTAAGTGATAAGCTACTCGCAGAAGCCATCTTGGCAATATATTCCACCCAGCGCAACGAAATTTATTGATACCATCTCAGGTGAACTGGCCAAAGCTGAACCCACGGCCATGGGCTATCGAGGGCTACCAGGAGACGATTGGAAAGATCAGAAAGGGAAAGGTCATAGGCTCTTTTGTTGCAAGGCACGAGCGCGGACTGAGCACAGCGAGATATCTCAACGCCGAGGAAGGAAAGAAGAGGATCGAGTAACATGCCAGTTCAAATATTCCTATGGGTTGAACACTCCAAATTATAGGCGCACCTCTCTCTATCTCAGGCTCTTTGCCACGAGCCGGGCTTCATTCTTGCGCGTCTTGAGTGGTAGGAAGGATCCTAGACTTACTTCATGGCCAATGTTTTGTATAGATTTATTAGATGTTGTAATCGCCTAGGCCTTTAATTAATCCCTTAAATACCTTGATAATTCATCATGTGTCTCAACGATTAAAATTATTGTAGCTTTAAAGACACAGTAGCTTTGATTTGTATATTCATATGTTGTAACAAATAACACGCAGTTATGAGGCGATAAATAACAAGAAAAATAACTCGCAACCTTATAATAAGTAAGGTTACAAGGGTAGAAAAAGAGAGCAGAGCAGACAATAAAGATATAAAACTCTCGATCAGGGAATCGAATCCCGGCCACCTGCGAATTATCATGAAATGGCAAGCAGGTATCCTGACCACTAGACAAATCGAGATGGAGACGAACTGCTACTGAGTGATGTCCCGAGCGGCCGACCGTATATATTAAGATGCCACACATCCTACAAGATGTAGTATATTATATACATGCTTTTATTATGTTTCTACGGGCTCGCTTCCCAAAACCAGAGTCTCTCTATGTAGCCAGCTAGTTACACGGTAATGCAAGAAACAGTTCCACCTTTTGTAGCTTGTGCCAAAGTGCTCTTCCACACTACCAAATCTTAGGGCAGAGTCAGGCATTTGAAGGCCAGTCTGTGAAGGTCATGTTGTCTGGCCATATGAAGGAGGCAAGACCTAATCACTTTTCTCATACATAAAAACATAGAGTGAAATACTCGCAGATCGCCTATTAGACATGAATTATGATGAAAGTTTAAGAGCATAAGGTAGGTAACGCGTTAAAGTATTGCTTACCACGACGGCTGCGTAAACCCTCAGTTCACTATTGCAAAATCTAACTCTCGAGTCGGAGCCTTCGCCCGTTTTGAGAGCCTGACTTCATGTTTAAATATCATAAACAGTTGAAATCGACAAATAGACTCTTGCCACTAGTAAAGAGCTACTTTCTTCAAGTCTAGAGGGAGTTCGCGATTGGTCAACATGATGACCAAGCAAGAAGAATATCAACTTCCGACCTACAAACTTGAACTTCGCTAGTTGTCCATCAAGCATACATTACTACATATCTCTGACCGTTTTTGACACCCGAGCCCGGCGGAATCTCACGCTCAGCTCTGTACCACGCGTGTGACTTGACGATGCTCAGCATTAGCTCCACCTCATAGAGACGGGGAAAAGAGGATAGATAATACCTTAAGATGCCTAGAGTAGCCGGCTCGTGCTATCCCCATACTTTATCATTCACCATCCCTTTTCATCGGATAATCACACCAGCAGGGTCTATGTCTACGGTCTGCAGACCATGGCACCTGGCAGCACCTGCAGCTGAAGTTTATAAATAGGGATTCCTCTTACTAGTCTCCATCTTCAATATAACCTTGAACAGTTACGTCTTTTAAAACTCTACTTAATTTTCTAACTAACTACATAAAATTTTATCAATTATTTCAATAAAAAGTCGCTGTTCTTATAAAGGAAGGTAGTAACAGCAAGCGATCACTAATTCATAGGGCGAATGGTCTAGGGGTATGATACTCCCTTCGCATGCTTGAATCTCTATAGCAGCCTGGGAGGGGTCCGGGGTTCAATTCCCCGTTCGTCCATTAATATGCGTTCTACAGCTTATATGCTCTTTTTTTTTTCTTTCTCTCTTCCTGTGATAGCCTAGTAGAGGTTTGTGGCGTTTCATCTATTGATATGGCCCTAGATCTTAAAATCTCTTTACGTTTCGAGCTACCCTGTTAGAATGATAACAAGTTTATCGCTCGCAGAGTCTTGCCTCGGCGTGATTGCGGCGGCTAATACCCAATGCTTGAAGGCCACGTGTAGGTGTCAGGAGACTTCAGCTTGTCTTGGACTAGTAGATAGGTAGTGTGCATTATAGCATCCTAGCATAAACAGAAATTCGTTCATATTCGTAGGACTTGATAGGTAGAAGAAAATAATGCCTATCGTACCGTCGCATAGTCAACAAAACCTAAATTTTAGGTATGTTCGTTGATAGTAAGTATCCAGTTGCCAAGTACCATAACCTCTATGATTAATTAGCCCACGTCCCTCCCGTTATCCTATGACCACTTCAACTACCTAGGTACACGGCGGAAAACTTGATAACGCGGTTCTGATTAATTATTATATTATCAGGACGTAGGTTACCTAACGTACCACACAAGTAAACGGTCCGCACAAATTAAACGGTCCGATCTTTATACTTTTGTACGCACTATTTTTTATTACTATTTTTACTATTACCAACAATGGCGCATACTGCAAAAAAAGCAAACTTGCAGCTTATATTACAAGCTTTTTAAAATAACTTAAAATTATTTCTTATTTTTGCAGCAAAAATTTATAGCGTTTTTTATATAACGTTAAGCTGTTAACAACATAGTTGCAAGCTAAAACAAAATTTTTTTTTTTTTGCATAAAAATTAACTAACTTTAAAAAAAATATTATTGTACAATATATAATTAATTTAAATTTGCAATTGTTTTTTTTTTTAGTTAAGCAGTGTTAAAAATATAACTAACTAATTGTTACGCATATATAACGTGCTTAAAGTTAGCGTTAATTAAGCTTTAAACTTTGTATAATAATAATTAAGCTTTTAAACGTATTTTAATTAAAAAATTAATTATTAACAAGTTTTTTATAAAAATTTTAACGCGTATTAAAAATAGTTTAGCTTTATATAAAACATAAAATAAAAATATAATATAATAAAAAAAAATATTTATAACTTTAACAAAATTAGCTTTATTATAAACAAGCTATTGTTTAAAATAATTGTTATAATGTTTAATTAACACAAAAAACTAAAATTTAATTAGTAAAACAATTATAATTAATTAAATATATTTTAAAATATTAATTTATATAAATATGCAGTTTTATTATATATTATTTTAGCAAGCAAAACTTATTTGTTGTTTTAATATATAAATAGCTAATTATTTAGCAATTAAAAAATTGCAACTAACCTATAACACAAGCTAGTTTTGCACACAAGCAAGTTTTGCACTTTTTTTAAAGTACCTTATAAGCTAATTTTTTATGCAAAAGTATTTATACCACTTTTTAATAACTTTGCAAAAATAAGTTGTACAACAAAATAATTAGTATTATTAGATTTGTAATAAAATAACGAATCTAATAATATTTTCTTTTATTTTGTATTTATTTTATTTGGGCGTATAGCTTTAAAAAACAAATTTGCAGGAATTATTTTAGCGTAGTTTTTAATAACGCCTTAAATAAAATAATTAGAAAATAAAAGAAAATACTATTAGATTTGTTATTTCATTACGAATCTAATAGTACTAATTATTTTGTTGTACGACCTATTTTCGCAGAATTATTAAAAAGTGGTATAAGTACTTTTGCATAGAAAATTGGCTTACAAAGTACTCCAAAAAAAGTGCGAAACTTGCTTGTATGCAAAACTAGCTTGTGTTATAGGTTATATTTGTTTATTTATTATATTAACTTTAGCTTTTTAATATTAGTTGTTTTAGCTTATTAAAACGTACGTATAACAAAAAAATTACTAATTTAATTTAAGCTTATATTATTTATATTGTAAAAAAAGATTTTTTTGCTGCGTTTTATAAAGTGTACAAAGCTTTTATAACTAAATTAAACATTTAAACAAGCTTTAAAAAAATTAAACTTGTTTTATATAACTTAAATTATATAATTTTGCAGCTAAAAGTTAAATTGCTAACTAAAATACTTTTATAGTTATTAAACAAGCTTTTGCTTGTTTAACATTTAAAAACCTTTTAAAACGTAATAAAAATGCAATTATAAGCTTAATATATTAAGCTACATTACTAATAAAAAAAATTGTAACATTATAAAAAGCAAATTGTCATAATTCAGGTGCACTACCAACTAAACCATTAATTAGAGCATGCTTTCTCTGATTTTAATTGCCCATATCACTATGATCTATCCAGGTGTGCTCCGCACACTATTCTTTGCTTTTACAAGCTTTAGTCTTGTATAAGACCTACTATACAGAATATACATTATATTGTACCTAACCTTAAGAGACTTCCCAAACGTGACACAAATAAAATACTTAGCCAACATTGTTGTACAAAAAAAAACGTATACAAAAAAATTGTCATAATTCAGGCGCACTATTAACCAAACTACCAATTAAAGTATGCTCTCTTTGATTTTGTTTGCTTATATTACTATAATTTATTTAAATATGCTTTGCACACTATTTTTTGCTTTTACAAGCTTTAGTTTTATATAAAACTTATTATATAAAATATATATTATATTATATTTAACTTTAAAAAACTTTTTAAACGTAACAATTTTAAAGCTTTTATTTAAAAGTTATTTATAATATATAACTATTATAGCTTTAAAACAACTAGCTCGCTTTATTTTTTTTATAAAACTTTTATATATAAGTTATTTACAAAATAGTAACAAAATATTTTTAAGTAATAACAAAAGCTAAAAACTTTTAAATTTTTTTAATACTAATATAATAAAACTAAAAAAAGCTTTTATTTAACTATTTTAATAGCAAAATGCTTAGTTAACTATTAAGCTTAACAAACTAAAAAAACAATTAAAATAAAAAAAGCAGTTTATATTAAATTTATATAAACTGCGTTTTAAAAAAGTATATAAAACAATTATAAAAAAAAAAAAAAAAAAAAGTTTTAAAAACTAAAAAATTAGAAAATCTAAAAAACTTTAACAATTTAAACACTTTTTATTAAACTTTTTATTATACTACTTTTTTTAATTAATAGCCTAACTTTAGCTATTATATTGAAAATAACTTTTTTAATTTAAAGCTATTTATATTATTATTTTTATTATTATTTTTATTTTTTAGTTAAAAAAAGCATTTTTAAAATTAAGCTAAACGCAGATTTTATTTATAACATTATTAAAACAAGCATAATAATAAATCTAACAGCAATATAAATTTAAGCAAGTTATTTAAGTTTAAATACTTTTTATTTAAAATAAATTTTATTTATAATAAATAAGTTAAATAAATTTAAAAGCTAAACTTTATGTTTATTAGTTTAACATGCAAATTTTAGCGTTATTTTAAACGCATTTTGTATACATATAGCAAAATAAACTAAGCTTGCAAAAACTAATATTATAGCTTTATTTAAAGCTTAAACAACAAAAACTAATACTAATATAAACATAATTAAAATGCATTTTTTATATAAACTAAAACCTTTATTTGCTAGTTAGCTTTTTTAAAAGCTAATATTAGCAGCAAGTTAAAAACAGTTAAGCAGCTACTTAATTAAAACTTTAAAACTTTTAATTATTATTTTACTTAAATCGAAAACCAAAAAAGTAGGCAAACCGATTTTAAAAAAGCTATATTATATTACTAAAAGCTTTTTATTACGTTTTAAAATAAAATACTTAGTTATTTTAACTTATTATTTATTAAAAAAATTAATATAATAAATACAGCTAACGCATCCCACAAGCTAGTTTTGCACACAAGCAAGTTTTGCACTTTTTAAACTTTTTTATACGATTAACATTTTAACTTTATTATTTTAACTAATACTGCTTTAATTAATATGCCACTTATATAAAACAAATTAGATTTAATTCTTGCTTTAAAAACAATTTGTACGAACTTTAATTTAAGCGTATAACGCGCAGCAAATATCTTTAATATACTTTTCCGCACTTTACTTAACTAAAAAAACAAACGCAACATAAAACGCGCTACACTTTTATATACTTAAAAACTTACCGAATTTAAAAAACAATTAATCGTACAATATATAATCGACTTAATTTTGCAATCGTTTCTTTTTAAGCATAATGCTGTTAAAAATATAGCGAATTAATTGTTAAAGCTACGCAAAAAAGCCCGCGTTAAAAAAAATTAGACCTCAAACTTTATACAATAACAACTAAAGCTTAAAACGCGTTTTAACCGCCGAATCGATTACTAGCGTATTCAAAACAAAAATCCGATCAAATATCGCATTTAGTTTGCTTTCGTACAACATATAATTAACAAATAAAAAATTTAAAAAAAAATATATATATATAATTTTAATAAAACTAGGTTTACAATAAACAAAATTATAGCCAAAATAGTTGTAATAACGTTTAAACAATTAAAAAAACTAAAAGCTATATAATAAAATAACCTAAAATAATCTATAGTTATTTAAGCTATTTTGTTATATAGCTATACAATTTTTTCATATATTATTTTAGCAGCAAAAAACTATTTTATACTTTAATATTAAAACAGCTTATTATTAAACAATTAAAAAATTACAACTACAAAAAATAATTAAATAATAAACAAACAAAGTTAAAATTAAATTAAATACTTTAATAAACATATAAAACGTTATATAAAAAATGCTTTTTAGCTATTAATTTTTAACAGCTACAAAAGCTACTATTTAACTATTTTTAAACTATATTATAAAAAAAATTTTATAATTATATTTTATATGCTAGCTTATTTGTTACACAAGCTTTAGCTTTTTAATATTAAATGTTTTAATTTATTAAAACGGGCGTACAACAAAAAAATTAAACATTTAATATAAGCATATATATTATACG